ATTCTATGATTCTATGAAACCCCTTTACACAAAGCAATTTCTTACCATAATCTCTAAAGATAGTATTTAAATGCTCGTCAAACCCTCCTCCCTTGAATTTGTTTAAATAATTAAAACCAAAAAATACTTATAGTAGTATAATCAAAATTCAAATCAAATTTTCATCTCACAAACTGAATACCTCTTTTTGAACTGGTTTTTTTCTGATATCTTGGTTCTTTCTTTGTCATATCAATATTAGACAACACATCGCTGGTTTGAGTGAATTAATAGAATGCATTTTATTCTTGACTCAGAAGCATCTGGCATTGGAAGGTGTCTCAGTAAAACGTGCCAGCTCACTCAACTCATAGGAAGAAATGCTGACTAAAAAAATTCTTATTACTGATCTGTCTCCTGCCATTACTCAGACTGAAAGTTTTTATGATAATGGGTGAATTAGATTGTAGGAATTCAGAGGAGAGTAAAGTGAGATTTTTTTAATTTTTCAACATTGTGAAGTCATTCAGAGCTGGGTGGAAAGCAGCTATTTTCCACAGTAGGTTTTGAAAGCTATTTGAACCACAGAAAAGCACAGCCTAGTAATTCTCCTGCACAAGTTACTAAATATAAGGGCAGACAAACTGGCACAAAGCAATGACATTTTAAAGTGTAATTTGACCTAAAACAGTTTTACAGAACCTTTCAGTTTTGCAAACTAGAAATTTAAATTAAAAGTGTTTAGTTGCTTCTAGCTCTGATCATTTGTTATGTTAACACCAAAACCAAATTCCGCAAATACTGGGAAGCCGAGGTCTTTAAAATTAGCACAAGTCAAAGCCATTGCTTTAAAGAGGTTTAAAAACATCATTATCTTTCAGGTAAGAGAAGGTTCTATAATGATTTTGAAAAACATTTAGAAGTATATGTTATGTAAGCTGTTATTGCTCAACTCAGTGAAAATCAAGAGTTGTCTTTAAAAACATAGGTATTTGTGCCTTAGCGGGGCTCAAATTTTGTTTTGTGGAACTGATTTCTTCTCAATTTCATTTCGTATTGAAAAACAAAGCCAACCCATTTTGGGGAGTATGCAGTATTTTATTTTATATAGCTAAATAGAGTTCTATTATTTCACGTGACTAATATATTGGTAATAGGACTTAAGCAGTAATAACCTTTTGACTGTGATTCTACAGCAGTAGTACAGTTTATTTCTGATTAATATTTAGTAAATAATCAAATTCCAGTTATATAGTGAGTACATGTATAGTTAAATAAGCATATTCCTCAGTTTAAAAACATGCTTGAGTCTTTTTTTTAATGTCTGCGTATAATTCACAAAGACAGTCAAATGTCATTATGCAGAGGAAGATCAAATCTCAGTGTCTGTAAATATTACTATTGCTTGAAATATTATTCAGATAGTTTGAAGTTTGTTTTGATTAATACTAGCTATTGTTGTGACTTGGATTACTTGGAAATTATTGTAACCATGTTTTTGTTTATTTTGAAGGAAATGAGGTATTGAATCGTGATGAAAAAAGTCCTCTCTTAGAACAGATAAATAACAAAGAGCCTACTCTGATCGAAACAATCTTCACAGTATTGTCTTACTGCACTTTGTCACCCAAATCTCTTGGCATTGCTTTTGAGACCTACATGGAAAAAGTGCAGTTGTGGAATTGCTTATACAATATGACAGGTATTTAATTTATTAATAAGTATTTAAAAGCTGATGTTAAACCTTGTCAGTTTTGAGACATGTCCTGTGTATTATTTTTACCTTAATAAATCAAATTAAATTATGGTAGTTTACTTCAAAATTACATCATATTTGAATTGTTTTGAGCAATAGGGTCATGGTAGCAGTGGTGAAAACTTTGAAGAAAGCAGAGATTATAGAACAATGTGGTCAACTAGGAGTCTAATTTCCTTAAGTGTCTGTCTTATCAGTAGGCTGGCAACAGATAGTTTCTGTAGCTCTCCAGCAATAAAGATTCTTTGTCTCTGTGCATTTAATAGCTCCAGTCCTTTACCATGATTTAAAAGAAAGAAATTACTAAAGGAGAGTGGAAAAAGCAAAAGGACTCCTACGGAGCTAGACATAGCGTGATGGGCGTATAGACTGTGCTGTCAACAGACAGACAGGCTCCTAATTTTCCACAGAGAAGGAGACCTGCCCTCACGATTAGAGCAACTAATACTGCCCCCAGGAAAAGCAGTATTCAACCAGAAAAGAGGTGAGGTTTAGAAGGTGATCTGCAAATGAAGGCTAAAATGCGGTAAAGCTCAAAAGAAAAGAAAGGAATAAATTAGGAGAATGTGAGAGAGGAAATAGAATTAAAAATATCACAAAACAGAAAACAGTGGTAGTTGAAGTGTTCAGGTATGCCTCAGGTTAAAAATGAGATCACAAAAATTAAAGTCTAAGGTGTAAGAGATTGAAAAATACAGAAATACTGTATGGAACTTTCCAGAAAGGCCACACAGAGAAGTATAAAACTTGGATCAGGGAAAAGTCGACAAGGGAAAGTATGAGCAAAGGACCTAACACGTCAAAAGACATCTCTGATGTGTCCTGCAGCACTCTGCCTGACTAGTGCTGCTCCATGGCAGTGGAGAAACTGCAATTCTCTGTGGTATTAAGAATGTGGAGAAGATTGATAGTTGTTGTAATGTCAATAACTGTATTTAGGATGGTCTATTTTCAACATGCAATCTCTGATAACATGCTACATATCTGTTGATGACTACTATCAGTATGCATTTTTTGTTCACAAAGTATCTCTTTTTCATTTGCAGTTTTCTAGCATCACAGTTTGGGTATCTAATAAGCACAGCTTCATTAACTATGAAGATAAGGAAGTAGAAAAAAATTGTTGTCTAACAAGTAATTAAATGTACTCCATATAAAAAAGAAGACATTCGCCAGTTTAAATGAAATCTTTAGAAATATATTGATAGAAAAATGAGGATGAAGAAAATAAATGGAATTGTGTATTTTCTCAAAACTGTATTAAGATGGTACAAGATGCTGCTTTGTTTTGCTTTATACTCTGTCTTTAATTTGTAACAGACCAATAGGTCTAAGTTATTTTAAATCATAATGTTTTCACTTTCTGTAAATTCTGAAACACATCTTTCTGAAACAGATTTACACAAATGACTACACTTACTGAATATTTAATAATTCTTCCTTTTGAAGTTTCCAGTTGTGGTGTGTCGGAGCCAGAGGTTATCAGATGCTTGAAGTTGACTTTGATTAATTCAGTCAAGGGTATAGTGAAGCAGATAATTTCTTTGATGCATTCATGGGAGGCAACGGAAAACTATGGAACATACCAGCACAAGCAAATAGTTCCTGAAAGTTTATTGAAAACGGTTCCAAAGGAATGGAATTACACTCCTCGGGAAATGAAGAGAAAAGAATCTGGGAAATGTGGGTGAAATTTATACTGCTTTATAAATATGTCATAAAATCTTGATACTACTTTAATGAGTAAATAACAAAATTGGACAGTTATAATTCATTAGCATTGCAGTTTGACAGTGAACAAAACAATTTCCAAGCATCCTTTGTTTTTTTAAAGTACATAACGTTAAAATTCAGTACCACTTTCTTGAGGCTTACACCCTTGCATACACAAACAAGATTTTTAATCAGTATTGTATTACGGTTAATAGTAGTACTGAATCTGACAGTAGTAAGGTGGGACTTAAGGAAGAATAAGGCATAATGTCTATACTTTTGTCTTAATGGCTGTAACCAGTTCTTCTCTCAATTACCATCTTTTCTGTCAGGACTGTTTAAATTTAAATGCACAGTGTTGTCTGAAATTATAACATCTTGGTCATCGCAACTTTATAACAGCAATTTATGTTTGAATAGCACTGAAACTGGTATGGAATCTGCTACTGCTTGGTTGTTGAAACAGTTACTGAAGGAAGAGAAATAAAATACCTAATAGATGATTTAAAGGGGATGGGATGTAAAGATGATTTCTGATACGTACTTTCATAACCTTCAGTGCCTGAAACATCCATAATTTCAAAACCTTAACTTTTGAAAACATGTCACTGTAAATTTATTACCACCAAAATATTACCTGATTATTTTCAATACAGCAGTATCCCTTTAGTATATTCTGGCGTGAAGTTTTGAATATGTAGAGTGTGGGCAAACCATGGTATCAATCCGTTCTTTCCATATATCTTCACTTCAGCATGTTGAGGCACGTGTGTGCAGCAGTGTGCTTGCTGCAATATCACATTGATCTAGAACTTGTAGGCCGTTTTTAGGCTATTGCTAAGCCTGAACTGAGATGCAGGCTGAGAGGTAAGGCTCAGACTTAGTGACAAATTAGGTTGGCTATGTGACACCTAGAACAGATCTGGCTCTGGTGGGGTTTTTTTAACAAGTTGAGAATACCGGTGCAATGAGTCAGGGGTATTCTTGGTTTGTTTGGGTTTTATTTTGGTGCTTTTTTAAACAGTGACTTGACTCCATATGTGGATTGTGTTTCGGCATTTTCATTTTATATGTGTCTTTGGTTTTGAGGAGCATAGCTTCTGCAATTACTTCTACAGCTACTTTTAATATCTGGAATGTTTAAAATGCAGTGCTATATAGAGTGCATGCTTATATGAAATTTGATAAACTGAAGTTTTGTAGGTCTGAACATAGAAAAGGATTGATAGAAAACTAAAGATTGTGAATGTATGAAATATCCTGAGACACTTAGAGAAATGCTCCACTAGTGAAGCTGGAAAAATGTTCCACCACAGTTTTGAAGACACTTTTTTTACGATTCAAAATACCTGGGTGTTGTTTTTTTAATTTATTCTGTAATAACTGTGCTCAGCAGGATTAATTGTTAAGAGAGTCACAGTCTGATTTCTAGATTTTCTAGGTACTCTGGTTTCAATTCATGTTTTTGTTTAGATTTTGTGGGATTTATGTGGAGGAAGCACAATAGAAGTCAAGCTACAGTGTTGAGAACTTAAGCCTTTTACCCATTTTCAGTACAAAAGAAAGTTAGAAATTATCATACAACATTCAAAATCATGCTGTGATAGAACTAGAATGTTAATGTTAATCGTATCTTCTTTTCTTTCTTTTTTTAAGGCTTCACAAGGCTTGCAGCTCAGGCAGTATCTATTGTAATCAGCAAGTTACCTACAGTGATTGCATGTTTGCCTCCCCCAATTAAGTACTTCTTTTTTCTGGCTGAGAGAAAAATGTCAAGAAACTTTGCTGAATTGAAGAAAGCTGGTCTGCTTGTCTGGAACTTGATTGTAATTATATGTCGGATATTTGAGGATGGAAATACTGCAGAACTTTTAACAGGTGCAACACTTGACAGATGGAGCAAAGAAAAACTCAGTTTAGTTCGTGTGTGCTTAGAAAGTATTATGGGAAAACAGAAAAGTGGTCCTAAGCAAGTGACCCAGAAGGTGATACAAAGCATTGAACAGCAAAGACCAAACTGGATTGAAAGCCAGTTGCTGAAGGCAAGAAGACTGAGCACGGAGTGGTAAGAACATAGTATTTTTCAAATGCAGCTGGTTGTTCTTTATTCTACTGGATTATTGTCATGTTTATGGCTATTGTTCTGTTAAAAAAATAATAGGTGAATAGTGATATTATATGAAATGGATTCATTCTTAATATTAACAGCTTTGTAGAATGGTTTTAGAAACTTAACTTGTATTGATGAAACAGTAAACCATGGTTGTTTCATCGCAACAGTGTCTTCATGGTACTTAGAGATTTTGTATTTTGGTGATAATCCAAAAATATGTACAATTTAATTGGTGTATCTTTCAGAATGTGAACAGGTACGCTGACTAGAGGGCACCACATTATATTTGTAAATTAATTTTGCTATGGTGATTAAATTAAGAGGGATTGTGGAAAGCTTTCGGTGTTCATCTGTGATGAAAAAGTAAGCATACTTCATTTTAGAACACAACAAACCCTGAGGGCAAGTAGGATGTATCAAAACAGGACAAGGCAAGTACCCTGCTGTGCCTTTCTGAGGAAATATCAACCTTCCCTGCAGATTTGACATTAAGGTCCGAGTGTTTTAAATCCCGATAATGATTTTCCAAGGGGTTGTGTACATGTCAATGTGTTTCCTCATCTAGTCTGTTTTAATGTTGAAGTCATGTTCTATTCTGCAAAATACTAGTCATCAGCTTTCCAGTATTAGATTTATTTGAGTTACATTATTTACTTACTTTCAGTAGTAAACAATTTAATTAAGATTGCTTTTTTTTTTAATTAGTATTCTTGAAGGTTGCAGTCATTGCTATTCTGACAGTAATTGTCCATATAAACAAAGGGTGTAGTGTCTGTAGGTCAGAATCACCGGTACTGGTGAACAGACTTTCATGCAGTACTATAAGGGGCAATATTCTGTTTCGATGAGTAGTCAATTAACGTGAGTAGCAGTGTCACACAAATGCTCATTGACATTGACCTTTGTAATCTTTACATTTCCATTTAATACTAATTTATAAGCTCTAATCCAGTGATTAGAAGATTGAAGCCAGATGCCAGTGACTGAAGGAGTCATAGAATAAAAAACCCATAATAATAATGTGCAAATTGATACTTAACAGAATGGTTCCATAAGACAATTTCTAATGTCTCTGAGAGATGACATTTTTTTTTAAAAATACAAGTGTAGGTTAAGACAATATTGTGGACAACTTCTAAAAACTGAAACTTAAGTATTTGTACTTCTTCTAAAGATGAGATTTTTCAATCAATATACTGTTCTATTCTTTTCTAACATGCCACAAAACTGCCTTAATATCCAGCAGGTATCAGACTGTGGGAAATGAATTTGGGAAAATATTTTCTGTATGTGTATACTGTCAACCAAAGTTTTGTTTGACAACCTAGTTTGTGACTAGTGCCTCTAATTTTAAGCTTAAGAAACTGAAGAATGCATTAAGTGCTCTCCAACTGAGTCGCTCTATGATGTGGTTATGAAACTAAGTCCCCTAACTTCAGTGGGATTTCTGTAATAGAAGTCTAGCATAAATGTTATTTCTCCATTCTATATTAAAATATCCTAAGTTAATTTATGATAAAAAAGTAATCTGGTTAATAAATATCTGAGATCTGCAATGTAGAGTTAAATTGTTATTATAAATGCAAATTATAAACCAAATATATTAAAGCTGAAATTCAAATATCAGTTAAACTAAGAAGTGGTCATGTAATCAGTAAACTAAAAGCAGATCTTTCAAGAGGAAACTTGTAATGTTTATGTGATTTGCTTGAAATAGGAATGATTACGTTTGAAAATCTAAGTTGCTGTAAAATTATGTTCCGTATAACCTTTTCATAATTAAAGGATTTTGTGGGTAAGTGTATGCACATGTATTTGTGTATATGTATATATTCAAATTCAAAAATGCTTATATACTTTTAACAGATACAGTGCGTGAAGGAAAATAAAACCCATAAATTTCAAAAATTTATGTGGAATTCACCTGCACAGTTGTGGAAACATCTTTGAAGTGCACTGGATTCTTACAAGGAAAACTCTTGCTTGATTTTGTGTTATGTTATTGATATCAGGACTGGTAGCTGCACAAGAAGTCTAAATATTATATAGCTTCTTCCATTGTGATATACAAACTTTTTTTTTTTCCCCACTTTCCTAAGAATTGCCTTCAGTGAAAGGCTGAGAAAGTGGCAGTTTACGCATTGCCTGTCTTGTGTACTGCCTGAAAGCATTACTATTCATTAAAATAACCTTCACTTTATGGTAGCACCAGAGGTGTAAACAGTCACATTACATTCTGAAGAACACGCATCCCAAGAAAAAAAGAAATGTCTGTCTTTGCAAAGTAATTTGTCGAGTTGAAGATTATTGTTTTTCATCATGGTGACCCTGACTTGGCTGGCTGGGTGCATATACAGATTAAGATGAATGCAGTTATTCCTTAGCTGAGGTCTGCCTCTTTCAGGGCACATTCTTCCTAATGACATGATTGATAGGCAGTCCCAAATCCAGAGAGGAACTCATTAATCATAGCACTGACTGAATCCAATCATCTGCTTCACCTGCACAGTGACGGACAGGAAAGGATGCAATTTGGGTGCTGACACTGATACACTCCCTTGCCAGAGGTCCTCAACTTTTTCAATGTCAGCCACTAAGAAGTTTGACAAGAAATTCAGGCTGTATCTATATGTGGCATTGAAAGCGTGCCTTAAGTGTGCTTTAATTTTAAAGATCAGTTTCTTTGAAGCTTTTCTGTAAAATACACCATAATAACAGAGTATCACTTACTTCCATTCAACAAAGAACAAAATTATAGTTTATATTTTGGAACTATTTGCTCTGTAGGACGTTGTGAAGCTGCATGTGGAAGCAGTATCAGCTTTAATGTCCAGCAGCTGTGTAGCATTTAAGTGAGCCTGCAGGTCAAACGGCAACTTTCAGTAGGACTAACATTGTAATCGTGGCACACTTGCAGCAGTAAACTGCAATTTATTGTAGCAAAGTGTTTTGTTGTTTTACTTCTAAAAATTTAAATATTTGTTTTGTTTTAATTCAGTATTCTTCTTTGTTTGGCATTTGGGTTTTTTTAAATTAATCCAATAATAATCTGTGTAGAAGGGATAATATATTCTTGTCAGTCTTTCAAGGTGCTGACATGTATCTGTGTCACAGGTCTAATATTTGAGGAAAATAATTAGTTTTAGAACTTCTTTTTCTTGATAATTTGTCCATGTACAATACTGGGCTAATAATGTGTTTATATGGAGAGAGAGCAGTCTGACAATGGTCAGAGTTCACAATACGTATTTTTCAAGGTTTATGGGCCTGTCACCTGCAGATTTTTTTTTTTTTAGCAGTTATACACAAATACTTTTACGAAGAAAACCAAGGAATAGTACAGGACAAAAAGTGCAACAAGTGTCAAATAGGTACCTTTGAAACAGTTACCACCATACCAGTGGGAAGAAAAAGACTTCAATTTAAAACTTCTAACCTATACTTAGAGTAATGGCTACCTTTCTGACATGTTAATTAGGCTGTAATATGTGCAGCGACAGGCAAAGAAAAATGTACAAAAGATCGAATGCAAATTCTACTTCTAGTAGCAAAGATACTTCTCTAGTGGAAAAGAAAATTAAAAAATATTTGCTGCTTGCATGTCCTTAAAGAACATCTTATGTTTTCATCTTTCAGATTAAAATAATTAAAATTTGTACAATAAAAAAATCTTATTTAACATTGATTATGTATTTGTATAAAGGCTTCAGAGATGTATATGCAGCAACATTTGTTATGTGCAAGACGTTTATAATTTTGGGGGCCGGTTGTTTGGTTTGGGGTTTTTTTTTAACATGCATTTTTAGCTGACTATGTATTAGTAAGTTGATTTTTAGAAATTTAACCTAAGAATATTTGAATCTTTTTTGTATTCTAGTGCCTCAGTCACAGTAGAAGGTGCAGCGTTAGAGGAAGGAGGTATTGCAGTTGGATTCACTGAGCAGAAAATAAACATGATGGTCCTGGATATCTGCCACAAACTAGGTGGCAGCGAGTACCTGAGGCAAATTTATCACATCATCCGGCTCAATGAGGTAGGGAAACGGCCTTTTTACCGAGCAATTAGGTGTGTACTGGCCTGAGGCAGCGTCTGCTGGCAGCTAAGGGTTAGTCAAGGAGGTGATAATGCTTCTTAAAGTCAATATGAAATCCTATATTGCATTGTAATGGAATCCATTCAGTTTAGGCTTTTCTGCCTTTGTATAGAAAAGATTACTTTATAGGAAACAATGTAGATTTTATTTATGTGCTTAAACAGTAGTATGGCTCATAAACTGCCTTCAGGTTCATATTGTAGACCATAGATATACTTTAGGAGTTTAAACACGGTAAAAAAAAAAAAAAAAAAAAATCAGCAGGACTATTGAAAAATTGACTGTTACAGGAAGTAAAATTAAATGTGGTAAATCAATTCTCCTGATTAAAAAAACCAAGCAAACAAACCCTACAGCTGTACTGAAGAAGTAAATGCATCCACATGAAAACCTTACTTAATCTAGATAACTCTGTTCAGTAAAGTGTTTTCAAAATTACAGTAAACAAATTCAGATTTCTTTGTTGCACGTGGAATTTGGGCAATGTGAAAAAATTATCTCATTATTTGTAGGGCTGTTCTAAATTGCCCCAAGTTAGCAAAAGCATTCTGATTTTATAAACTGAAATAAACACAGGTTTATTTAAATTGTATGATAACATAGATCTAGACAGCTTAATTAAGAAAGTTCTGTTTATTAGCTGTAATTACTAAATTACTATTCCTTGAATGCATAAGCAGGTGCTGTTAAGATCACTGCAACTGTACAGAAGTGTTTATAATAAAATGCAAAATAATGCAAATATAAGCATAGGCCAAGGTTTTACATTAAAAAAGATAATAATAGCAAGAAAAATGATTAGGCAGCTCTGTATGTATGAAGGCAATAGAGTTGCAGCTCAGCACTGGCACTGTGCTGAAAATCAGATCAACTGTTTAGTTCCTAAGTATAGGCTTAAAAGCAACCTTGATGCATCTGCATTTGGAAGCTTTAGAAGCAATGTAAGCATGTATGTGGAGATGGCAACCTAATATTAATACAATACAGAATCTTTTCAAGTTTCATCTCAAACAATTAAATGGTTCAGGAAGTGAAGTGAAAATTATTACTGTAATACAGTTCAAACAAACCCTTTTCACCTGGAGCGCATTCAGAATTACACTAAGTATAACGGAGTGAGGAAAAGATGATGAGCAAGACCTCTGAAAATAGCATATAATCGAATAGTTAGGGCAGTCACCTTGGGGACAGGATATTCAGGCTCAAATCTTTATTCTGCCTGATTCCGACCAGGGAATTGCATCTGTATCTCCCACATCCGAACTAACTCCCCAAACCGCTAGACCATTAGCTGCTAGCACAGAATTCTGTCCTTTTCCCCTGTTGGAGTTGTTTCGCCTTGTAGAAATTGCTGTAAAAAATCCACTCTTAACTTCTAGGGTCAAAAATAGAATCATACTCTAGCTGAAGGGCTAGAATGCCCATATTGGGTTTTGAAGACCCTTATCCAAGATCCAACTCCTGTGAGTATTCGGTTATTTATACAAAGTGGAGCAGTTCCAATAGGAGGTAAGAAGATGAGAAAATTAGGTGGAAGAGGGACTTCAGCCTGACTTTCCACATCCCAGGTGTCTCTCCTTGAATTTCTGTAACTAGTAAGAGCTTTGTTAAATATAGAACATTTCTCAGTGGAAAAAACTTTTTTATTTTTTTTTAAAGAAGAAAAAGAAAATCCTGACCAGCTGGATTCATAGGACTTTACCATGTTACTTCAATTTTCCTTTGAAACCGTTACAAAGCATTTTAATGCTTAGCATGGTATTATGATAATGCACTTTTCAATATTATATTTCATAACTTAGATTATGTTTAACGTGCCTGACTACCAAGAAATAGTCTTGTCTGTTCAAAGGTCCATCTTTTTGTTTGGAGATTCCTTGGGCTATCAAGGGATCATGTTCTTAAAATTAGTTTGGAGATGTTTATACTACACTGCTTAATAATTGTGTGTGAATAGAGGACAAAATGATGAGATGGAAAATTGTTGTTCCCAATAATTTTCCTTAGAAAAGCAGGTGAAAAGGGATATAGGTTCTTGGAAGATATATTTGGAAACAGAGCTGTGATATGTTAGAGATCTATAATAGACACTGTAGAACTCAAAACAGCTTACAGTCCTTAGTGTATTTATCAAAAAGAACAATAATTTTAAAAAGCATTTATGACTAGTGGCTACCAAACAAAAACTTTTCCTGAGCTGTCAGTCTCAGTAATATTCTGTCTACTTGGTTTCATGCCCAGTCAGTGATAGTAAGGACATAGCTCACATGTTTGCAAACAATATTTCATTTCTATCTATTTTCATGTTTTTGAAACATGACCCTTTCAGGGTCTGCGGTATGTACTGTACTAAGTTCTTAAAGTAATGCATTTACCATTGTTGAGTAAGTCTCTTCATCAAAACATAAATCCACAGTGTTCCAAAGACAGAAAAATGCCTGTACTGGGAGGTGAGTTGTATAGCACTGAAATGTTCAGTCTCCAGGAAGCATGGACAGACATTTCCAATATCTTTTCTAAAAAAACCAGCAGAGTCTGTTTCTGCTGACTCTGTGACACACAGAGGACTGGGTTGCTTTAGAGTTGCCTACAGATTTTGTGAAAATGTGTGCATGGAAGGCAGTGCATTTATGAATAATTGGCAAATAGAAATAGCTTTTAAATAACCCCCTTCACCATGACTTTTAAATCTTTGTTATGGCATGAAGTCATGAATGGATGGGAAAGAAACCCCAGACATTTCAGTAGGCTAAAAAGATATGGGTAAGAGACTCAGGGTGTTTTCACAGCTGCATTATACTGTTGTCTTAAACCAAAAAAAGCTCTGATTACTTTTTTCTTTTTTTTTTTTTTTTTAAATACACTTGGATGATTTTGTGATTGTCTTAGGCAGTCCTGTCAATAGGCTACAACCAGTCGATAGAGTCTTGGCTCTTTTTCTTGCCCTGGTGCTTTCCCACTCCTAGCCCCTGTGCACTTTATACTAGTACTAGAAATGGTGTGGCTTGTTTATCTGGCTGAAACCTTTCTTTTTTCTGTCTGATTTCACAGCATATGCTAGTGCCAACACCAGGGAGAAACAGCCACACTCTGTGTGTATTGGGAGGGAACTTGTGCCTTTCAGGCCAGACCACGGTTGTATCAGTTTAAACTGACGATGAAATTATTCTTTCAGAAAGACCCACCGAGGAGCACAGTGTGCCTTGGTGGGTAGTTTACATGTTCCCTCACCTGTGTCTGAAAATGTTTATCAACTCGGTAGTACTGCGGATAAGAGGAACATTTGCATCCACACATCTTAACGAAGACTCACCTTGAGTGCTTGCTCAATGTTATGGCAATCCTATCATTAAGGACTTCATTTTAATAACAATACACTGTTTAATCACAGTAGTCCTCCCTGCAAATAGATCTATAAGTGTTTCATTTTCTAGCTCTTTGAAAAGTGGTTCTGTTTAATCAAAACACTTTAGTGGCATGCAATGATGATTTATTTAGATAGTAGTTTAAGAAGTGAAAACAGAAAAGATTGTGGCCAGAATAATCGTGTGTCTCTTGCAGTATAGTTTCTAAAATTGCCATGTAAATCATAAATGACTTCTAGTCTTTGAATGCTTAAAGAATTAAAAATAGCTTTGAAGAGTGTGAGAATACTTATTTCCTGTGTTTAAACAACTGGTTTGAGCATGTTCATCAAACAATTAATTTATAGTCATGTCATAACTATTTAATGCTGTCCAAAAATAACTTTAAATATTCATGTATAGTTTATCGTGTAAAATAAGTCATATAATAGCCATCTTCTGTTAGCACAGCTCATAGCAAACATTTGTTTCTCATTTCTGCATGTACCTAACATATATATTGAATGAGAACTGATACACATAATTTGATGACAATTTCAAAACAACATCTTAGCTATTCTGATTTGCTTCAGTTGGCTGGATGTTCATTGTGGTTGTTTGTTGTAAAATAGTGTTATTCTTCAAAAGGTTTCCATTTCGTGAAAGATTACTTATTCCCTCGTTTAATATAAGGAGCTTCTGTCAAGCACACTGTAAAGTTATGATAGAAATTTAGGCAAATTTCACTTAGGAAGCAAAGTGGCATATACTGTTTTGTGGTTGTGTCTTCTTCTAAAAGGAGTATTTGAAGGAGCAGCTGTCTTGTGAGGATTCTTCTGAAGATGGTGTCATCTCCAGCCAATGCCTAACTTTGACACTGAAGGGCAGAGAAGAGCAACCTGTCTTCAACCCTTTCCAGGTGTACAGACAGTCTTGTTCAAAAGTGTTCAATCAGGTTTGTGAAAATCTGAAACCTTGGTTGTAGTGTAATTTTTACGTGTCAGTCTTATTATGATCATGATACTGACAGAGACAGAAACTATGAAAACAAAATTAATTATATGCATTCACATTTGATGAAGTGCAAAAGAATATTATTACTCAAGAATCTAATGAGGGCACCTTCTGCAATAGCATGATGTTCAAAAAGCCATTATTGTCCTTTTCTTTTATCAGAATTATTGCATGTAAGAGCAATTTGCATTTACTTAGACTATCTATGTTAGTTCAGTATAGTGAAGGAAAGCCCATTAGTAGCAATGACATTTATTACATCTGTGTAATGGTACATAGGGCTAGTCTTAGTCCTTTGAAATATCATGGCAAAACTCCAAGTGCACATTTAGAATCTTCCTAATGAGTCTTTCACAGAAATGATGAACAGTAAAGTAAAAGATGCGTTGGAAATAGAGATTTAACAGAATACTGAGAACAAGTGGTGGGAACAAAAAAGAAAGCATCCGTTGCTCTGTGACTAAGCCATGGTAGTTTTGTATAAAGCATTATAATTTACCTATAGAAATTAGTTTCCTGATAATGTAACAGTTAAAGAAAATAGATGTAGTTGACTAAATCTCTGCCGGAGCCCTACATGACCACAATTCATTACACAAAATGGTATGTAGTTTCTGATAGCACTTGGACACTTAAGAAACCTTGCACTATCGTTTTTCAAATCTTCCTAGTCCATCGTCTACAGTTTTTATTCTACCCCTCCATTTCAAATATTTAAAAAGAAATGGTATTACAGTGGCATGAAATTCACTTTACAGACTTGTGGTAGAAAGACATCGTTTTTTGGCACAACTCTTCTTTAAATAGTGTAATCTCCTCACTGAGTTTTGAGCATTTTGGATTATTTCCCTGGTTGTATTGCTGTAAAATATATCTGGGGGGTTTTTTGGGTTGTTGTTGGGGGTGGTTTTTTCTTTGTTTGTTTGTTTTTTTCCCTATTTGTTTAATGAATGTTTAATCATTGTCATGTTGCAATAAATGTTAATATCCTGAAAAAGGAGATCAATACCAATTTCACAAGAGTTCTCACTCCAGAGGAACATGCTTTAAAAATACCCTTTTTTTTCTTCCACTAGTCCCTTTATCTATATTTTAAACTGATAGAATTTAAGGTCTTACAGAATCACTTACTTCAATTTGAAATGCAGAAAATAGTTGACCATGCCTCAATTCTCAATTCATTATTGTGTGGTAGAATAAGACCTTCAAGTAGTGACAACTCAGGGCAGAATTCTTCTGCTACATGACAGATTTGCAGTGCTCTATTAATCAACAAATGACAAGCAATAGTTCATATTAAATTGCTTTGTATTTTGTAAACTTTTGGCATAAATCTATTACTTGAATATGGAAAAGTGTCTTAAAAACATGAGAAAAAAAGAGTAGATAATGCACCTTTAAGTACCATGTTCCAGCCTTGTTGAAAATGACAGACTTATTTCCTGAGCTTAATAATTCCTTTTACCATAAAATTGCACATTTATTTAGTGGTGTGGGACTGTCTATTTGTAAAATAGTGGTCAGCATAGCTCAGTCTTCACAGGAAACCAGACACTATTCTATATTCTACACCAGTGCCTGTAGAAGATGCCAGAGTGCTGTCAAGGAACAATTCTTCTCAAAGGATATGTTTTTCTTAAATTTATTTCTTACTGGTTGGCAATAGTCATGAAGCTTAGGAGTTTATAATCCATGATTAATTTCTTGATTTGCTTTAAATCTATTGTAACTAGATGTGTCTTTAATACACCAACTAACTTTTATAATTTCTAAGTACCAACAAGCTACTGGTATCACAACATATTTTGCCAATTAGTTAATTATGTATTGCTTTTTAAAAATTTTCTCTCACAAGGCCAATTGGAAAAGGCATGTCACTACTGCCCATGAGTCCACAGAGCTGGTTCAGCTCTGAACAGAGAATGTTTGTGTTATACTACACTGTATAACGTAATACATAATAATATATAAGAGCATGTCAACACTATGCATTGTAAACCTGCTCTTAGCTTCTGCAGTAGAGGATTTGTTAAAATAAATTATTTAGAAAGCTTTCTAGAAGATAATTTATAGTAAACATTCCATGTACACTTTCTTGGTAAATGTAAAAATTGCAGTACATTTGGGTGGTTGACTTTTTCTCTTCTGAAGTTTTGCTAATTTGTCCCTATCATGTCAAATTTAGTAAGATACTTAATCATCATTTATATGAATTTTACTGCTCCCGCAACAAAGGCCACTGAAGTGCTATTTTGAGATCAGCTTTAGCATTTTTATTAATGATATGTAAATTTCTTACCTTCCAAACCTCTAGTTCTGTAGCTGATCCTAGGAAGTGTGTCATTTCTGTTAACAATTCAGCCACTGCATTCTTACATTCCTGTAAAAATCTTGAATAATCACCATCTGGTCCTAGTAACTTGTTGCTCTTGATTTTATCAATTTGTCCTGACACCTCAATCTCTGCCAGTGCTGCTGCTCCTCTATTGTCTAATAAGATTAAGTCTATGCTGTGCAACTCCTTAACATTATCAACGAAGAAAAATGCTACAAAGAAATTTTCCTTTCCTGAAGTGATTTTTTTTCAAACTGCTCCTTTATTTTTCACATAACTGATCAGTATGATAGAATGAATTTTTGTCTGGTATACTTTAAAATTTTACGTTTGTTTTTATGATGGTTGCTAGTGGCTGTTTAGTTTCTCCTTTTTATGCCTCCTCATTTTCCAAGTACTTTCTCTGTGTTTATTTATCTATTTTTAATTCAGTGTATAGACCAGTTATGTGTTTTCTCCCATGTTCTTCTACTCCCACTGTTCTCACAGTTGACTCTTTTTCCCTTATTTCTTATCATGTCCACTGTTACTTCTTCATTCACTTTCTACTTTCACACTATATTATTCTTCCCTTTAGCTACCCTTGTCTCCCTTTCTTATTCTGTATTTCGCCTTTATTTTCCACATTACTTTTAAATGCATGCCAAAGATGAGAGTTAGGGAGAAAATTAAATTAAAATAAGGAAGGGAATAAAGTAAAGATGGGAGGAAGGGGAAGGATTGCACTGATTCTGCTCTCCCAGAACAACGAAGTGCTGTCTATAAGAAGAAAAAGATGCACTGCAAGCTGCTCTCCTTATTTAGGTTTATTTCCATTGTTTTGACTTGCTTCATCTATTTTTCTTTAACTACTCAGTGCCATTTGGATGTTACAACAACAATTTTTGAATTATTTCCTCCCAGGAATGTTGAATTGATGTCACTATTTGACCATTACTGCCAATGAAAATTAATATTAAGCAACAGGAGTTACTGTTTTGTAAACATAAGAATGTTACGTGTGGTCTTTTGTCTGACCACCATTATTTTAGATTGCTTTTATTTATTAAATAAGCAATATGGAGTTATATTTGTTCATATTGTCTAGACTTACTGCTGTGTATAATAACCATCTGGTGACTGGAATGCCTTACAAAACAATAGACAAGTCAACCATCATTCTAATTACAATACAGGTTACATCTTGAATTCCAGCTATACCAAGTTTTTGATGACAAACTTTTTGCTGACAGCAGAAAATGTAAATTGCTGTTACATAAAAAGTTGCCAATTATTTTGCTTTTCAAAGAGTCAAGCTCTCAGACAAAGTGGTTGGGCAGAATGCCATTAACAGTTGGAAGAATAACGGTTCAAAAAATTGATTTATCTTTTTATAAATAATGGCTACATCCCCAAATGGATTTATAAATTAATTGCTGTCTGATTGGAATAAAAACCTTCTTCTGTGGACATGATTGATATCATCTGTCTAAGTCCTTGTTCTAGACCCCTCTCCTTCTTGGTTAGTATATCACAGCTGGAGCTTTAATTTACTGATCATATTAACACTGATTAATAACTAACAATAGCTTCTTGCCATGTATCAACAGACAACCATTACTGAATGGAACTGGGATTGGTCAAACTTGCTGCCAAGTTATTTGGGACTGAATCAGATGACCTTCAGGGTACTGCTGGCACACAGGTAATTGGATTTTGGCAAATAATTGCACATTGTTGTTGCCTTTTTAACTTTATAATAGTCACTATACAAAGATTTTACTGGTGACATTTATAAAATAAATTATGCATTTATTTGTGAGTATTATTTTTAAATGGAAACACTTCTAGTCTAGTGTTTTGATCCATACACACACGGTTCTCAATTCCTATTTTCTGGGACCTAATATGTTCTTTCTGTCTGAGAACTGAATACATGATGATAATGCCCTTAAATAGTGCTTTAAAAAGAAATGAGTGACTTTTGCAAGCCTATAATGCTCAGGGACATTTCAGCTATATAGTGAGAACTTAAGTGATGTTTACTCAAGTTGCAATGAATCTCAAATTCAGACAGAGGCATGACAATTTTAGCTAGAAAGTGTTTCCTTAATATTTTTTAACTAATGGAACTTATTTTAATATTTTAACACTTTTTTACTTGTAAAATTTAACTGCTTATTTGATAAGCAGATATATTTAATGCAGAATTGATACCTGTTAAATTCAGAAAATTCTAGGTGGAAAAAATGGGCATTTTTCTAAAATATTTGCTATGATCTTTAAGGTCCCTTCCAACCCTAACCATTCTATGATTCTATGATTGTGAAGACTGGAAAACTTACCTGTTTCAAACCAAGAAGTTTAACATACCCTTCCTAATTCTGAATCCTCCTGATATCTGATATGGTCGTATCATTCATCTTTTGAACTGAACTGTTTATTTGAAACTGGCAATTTCAAAATTATATGTGTGAATTTGCATTTCAAAAATGGTTTTGTGCTGTTTTGGCAATTTATGGCTAGCAGTTATTCTTAAGCACTTAATTCTTCCTTTCATATATAAAAATATTGGTACGGTCTATTTCTAGTCTTCTTTCTGAATTTTGCTGTGATTAGTTCTTTCC